TTTACTGACACTCAGTAACCATGCAAAATTGTGCACATCGATATACCTATACCTATGTATCTATCTATATATATCAGCTCATGGTAGGAAACCATAGCTAGGGAGCATCGCCAACTCACGCATACAAAGTGATCTTGTTTACAGTATTCTGTTGACAGTGCCAATAAACGATAAAGAAATTAACATGTAATTGATGACCATATGCACAATTCCATGAATTAAATGTTTCCTGTGTTAATCAGTATTGTTAAATTTAAAAAAAATATATTTATAATGGAAACATCTGAGTGAATGTGGGCTTTTTGGTTGGGAATGGGTTTTGTTGAGTAATTAAGTGGGTGAGTACTCACGAAGCTCCAGTCGTACATCACTTAGGGATGTCTTGGGGGAACAGCGCCTGCATAAGTCCGCGCTGGGCTTGGGAAGCCCGGTGAGGCCGTTAACTTCACCAGAGTTCATCAAGGACATGCCATGTGCTAGGGATGAACAAGGTGTGGTCCTTACCCTCAGCTCACCTTCTAGCGGGGCAAAGGTCACAGTAACTAGCCCGAGGACCGGGGACAGGAGGACCCTGGACGAGGTACATGCACAAATGGTAGGCCCCACGTCAGGGTGACAGTTGAGCCTGAGTTGCATCTTTGAGGTTGAGCAAGAAGTGCTCCAGTGACTCAGAGGAGGGGGGAAGGCAAGAGAATGGCTACCCGAAGGCCCGCGGCCGGGCGAGGCAGGGGGCTTTTCCACATTGTTCGGCATTACTAGATCACACAGGGAGGGCGACCAGAAGCGCTGGGAGACGAGGCCAAAGAAGAGGCAGGACGCGGATCCGGAGGCCTACTGTGCCATGCGGAGGGCACGGGCCTTCCTCGCAGTGCTGAGGACACCAAAGATTTGGGGCAGAGGCTATTCCAGCATGCATTTTACATTGTCCTGAGTGTTCGCTGTGACAGGGCAGCGGGGAGGCCGGTGGGGGCTCTATCAGTCAAGATGGCCTGGTGGCCTGACAAGGACCAACATGGGATGGATGCAGAAAGCAAAGCACAGAATCCAAAACACCCAGGACAGCAACTGTGACACTGGATGCAGTTCAGAGTCACCCTAAAGAGCTTCTTAAACAATCCCAGAGCTTGGGCCCTGCCCCAAACCGATTAAATCAGCTGCTCTCAGTCGACTGAGGTGGTAAGTTGATGACTGACAAAATCAACGGGAAGGCAGAAGCAACGTGGGGAGGCACAGAGGAGGCACTTAGTGAGCAGCCGTGGGAGCGAGTTGGCCCTTTATCCTCCTGGTGTCCTGACCTGGAAGTGGGGATCATCAGTTCCTTTCCGGCTTCTGCTCCCAGCTGCCTCAGTGGCCGTTATTTTTCTCCCCTATGAAATGTATGGTTTGGACCACATTTCCAAAGCTCCCTCCAGCTCGGACCGCCAACCTGTCCATGAAAACGACTGACTTGGAAGGCAACGTCGACCATTAATCGTATTTTTTAAATAATCACGGATAGTGAGAATTATCATTTGTTGAGCATCTGTGACATGCAAGCATATTCTACTGGTGCTTTATAATTTTCACAACAAACCTGTGAGTGATGAATTTGTATTTCTATTTTTAGGATGAGGAAACTGAAACTCAGAGGTGGTTAAGGGAACCTGCCCCAAATCACACAGATTGGAAGCCAGGATACAAACAGATGAAAGATGATGTATTAGTGTGTGAACGTGTGTGTGTGTGTGTGTGTGTGTGTGTGTGTGTGTGTGTGTGTGTGTGTGTGTTCGTGCGGGTGCATGCACACAGTCAGCTTGGGGTTGGTTGAGGACAGGGACTGTTAACCGCTCAAAGACCTCTCTCACAGCCAGCCTGGCTGCTGGAACGTGGACTTGAACTGGTCAGCATTAGTGTGAGATCCTAAACATAACAATCCTGAGGTGGGTGGCTAGAAGGTGTCAGAACCTCAAGGTCGAATACTGTTGAAAAAAGTCACTGTTTTCTATTTTCTGTTCTCCCTCCCCACTGGGGAAGCAGGATAATGCAATAGAATGACTCTGGTGCTTTAGCTGGCTGACCTGAGCAAGTCACTTCACCTCTTGGAGCCTCATCTGTAAAATGAGGTTGAAAACCGTCATGCTAGCTAACACTTATCGAGCGCTTCCCTGGACCAAGAGCTATTTTAAGTGTCTTTCATGTAGTCAGTCAGTCCTCTCGACCCCCAATGTGTGCTTTTATGATCATAGCTTCACAAGTGAAGAAACCAAGGCACGAACAGAGACTGTGTAACTGGCCCAAGGTCACGGCTAGGAAGTGCCAGGGCTGGGATTCAAGCAGGCGAGAAGTCTGGCTTCAAAGCCATGTGCTCCACCCCGCCTCTGCCGCCTCTATCTGGCTCTCCAACTTGAAAGTTGCTGGGAGGATTAAATAAAATCATGCGATACTCGCCTGGCATATAGTAGGTGCTTAATCCCTGGTACTTCCTTTCGCCGCTTCATCTCATATATGAACAGTGTCTCATATATAGCTCTAAACAACAGTATTATATTTCTGTCAGAGTCAAGTTCCCACTCGTCGATATTAAATCTGTTTCCCAACACGGGTAAGCCTAACTGAATCCCGGAGTAGATTTCCACTGTTAATCAGTAAAATGAATGTTTTGTCACTGGTGTCGGTACGAACATGGCCAGATGGTATTAGCCCTACCGGATTAACTCTAAGCGGGAAAGATTTTATAGTTGAATGCTGCATAATCAAAACAATACCATACAAGTTGGACTCTGCCTGTGGGATCCTGTTGCTTTCCATTTGGGGCCTCAAGTCCTAAAGTCACAAAGCAGCGAAAAGAGAGCTCCAACCCTAGTTATTTGGGCAATTCGCCCCCAGGGTGGCCCCACGAGCAGCTAAGCCCGCCAGATCTGCTCTGGGGAGCGCATCAAACATGATCATTTAATGATGGGCTGGGGTGGGGTAACTGGCTCTAGGACAAGGTCAGCGTCATTTGTGGTAACTGGGGCAGGAAGGACAATGGCTGTCAGCTGTGCACACCACGAAGGTCCCCAGTGAGAGCCGACCTCCCCCTGGCCTGCAGGACCTCGTCTTAGCTCGAGCTGCTGTAACAGAACACCATGGACTGGGCGGCCTAAACAGCAAACATTTGTTTCTCACAGTTCTGGGGGCCGCAAGTCCACGGTCAGGTTCTGGGTGATGGCCTCCTCTTGATTCCGAGATTCACGGCCTTCCTTGGTGCGTGCTGAGTCTTGGCCTCCAAGGACACTGATCCCTTCATGATGGCCCTGTCCCCATGACCCCATCTAACCCTAATCCCAAGGGCCCCTCCCACCTCCTAACACCATCACAAAGGGAATCATGGTTTCAACACATGAATTTTAGGGAGGACACCAACATTCAGTCCACAGCAACTACCACATGAAAACCGACATGCCACAGGCCACCCCGTGCCCTGCGCCTAAATCACACACAGCCCAGGGTGTGGAGAGGTGCAAAGTCCAGAAGCTTCTCAGCAGACAGGAAGGAAAACCAGTCTACAAGGGACAAACACGGTTACATCCTGATGCTTTCAACTGAAATGCTTCCTACTGTCAACTCAGCTTCCAAGTCCAGAGTAGGATGTCACGGTTGAGAAACCTTTCCCTTTATCTAGAAAGCTGACATGAGGAGAAAAGGATGGAAAAAGAAACTGTGTGTATTACAGCATTTTTCTTCATGGGTTACGACAGGTGACATGCTCATTATGAAAATTTTAAACAATAACTAGGTTATAAAGTTAAAATGGAAGCCTTCCCTTTACCTCATCCACCCTCTCCTACCTGCAATTCTATCCACAGAGGTGACACTGTTAACAATTTGGAATGTATGCATTTTTGGAAACGTAAGTAAGATCACACAAAATTATATTGTTCTGTAGCTTGTTTTTTCCATGCAACGCTACACCCACGGTTACCGTTTCATACCAGCATAGCTCGACCTCGTTCTTTTCAAGGGTCATGTAGTAATGTCCCATAGTATGCATCTGCTAACATTTATTTGTGCTGCCACTAATGGAAACTTAGTTTACTTCCAGTTTTGTTGGTGCTATTGTTTTGCTACTAGAAACATTCAGTGAACCTCCTATGTACGCTTGGGTATTTCTATTAGGTGACTATTTTGGAACTGTCAAAGCGGGGAATTGCCAAAATGTCCACCTGAATCTAAAGACTATTCCCATTTCCAGAAAAGCTGCTGCACAACTTTGGGGAAGGGTAAACCCCACACAATGATTCTCAAACCTCGGGGTGCCTTGGAATTACCTGGGAAACATAAAAACAGATGCTCAGCTACTACCAGAATCTCCAGGAGTTGAACACAGACGAGTTTTGCTGTTTTTATTGATGCTAATTTGGGGTTTTATGGACAGCTCCCCAGTGCCACCCTACGCATGCGTTGCAGGAGCCCTAACCGGATTCCCATCGTCAGGTGGGGATCTGTGACTTTAGCTCTGGAATAAAGAGATGGATAATGCGTTTGCTCTGTGTGCCCTCTGCTGGTACTGCGCGAGCAGACCATGCATCGGAGTGAAGGCTCTTTCATGCCAAGGCTGGTGAGAATCCAGGCTCTCAACTCCCAGTGTGGTGAGACTTCTGGGCAGCGACTGTCAACAGAGGCTAAACAGGAAAATCGCCCGGGGAACCCGCTCATGGGCCTGGGTAATGATATTTTTAAAAAGCTCTCCAGGTGACTCCGCACGTGGAGCCAGGGTCTGAGAATCTATTCTTTAGGCAAAAAATAGGCCCCAGGGCACAGAGTCCACAGAGACATCTGACATGAGAGCCCCTAGACCCCCGCATAGTGAATGTGGTCTCAGCAGCAGTGCTGGCTCACGTGGATGACACTCCTGCCCCAGCCACTGAGCAGCTACCATCCCAACAGAATGAAATGACCCACCTCAGCTTCACCTCACGTCCCGTCTGCTGCTGGGTCCACCGCACCATCGCCTCTGAAGTAACAATTAACATTTGCTCTTTGAGTTTGCAAAACACTTGACATTTATTGTTTATTCGCACACCCATCCCATGAGACAGGCAGGATTTTCCATTTTACAATGTGAAAACCAAGGTTCGGAGACACAGTTAGTTCCCCGCCCCGGATGGAACCCAAGTCCTTGCTCCCCCCGCCACACCTGTCTTCCCATTTCACAGCGCTGTACTTCTGAGTGAAGCTGGCATAGCTTCCCCCCAAAACTGGCTCTTAACAGAAACTTCTGGCCATTACCTAACTGAATGTCATATACAGTGCAGCAAAAATGGGCACGGGAGGTCTCCTTCCCAAATTGGGTTACTAGCATCTGCCTCGTGAATTTCCTCATCCCAAAACACAAGTTCCCAAGGGCCCTGGCAAAGTCCCCAGCTGCCAGATCTCCTTCTTCGGCCTCACTCACATCCTCAGCCCTTTATCGGAGATCCAGGTGGCCCAGGACTACCCGGAAGCTCAACGCCCAGTTGCTCACTTGAGCGTGTCCAGCACCCCAAACACCTGCGTGAAACGCTCTCTGTCCAGGATGCGTCCGTAGCGCAGGGTGAGGTAGAAGGTCTGCTTCCCACTGTACCGCTGGATCCGCACGAAGAGCTCCTGGGGCCGGTCCCGGCTTTCTGTCATGGGGATCACGTCGGCCACCGGGCAATATGTGTCCTGCCGCCAACCCCAGAAGGTCAGGTGGGCCACCCGCAGCATGGTGCCTGTCTCGTTCACGTACAGGATACCCACCAGCCTCCGGAAGAAATAGCTCATCCAGCACAGCATGGCCAGGGCAAAGCCAGATATCCCGCCCACGAGGCACAGGGAGTCGAGAGTCATGAGGCCCTGGGAGTACCAGTAGAAGCCAGGCGGCAGGGCCACCACTGTCAGGGCCGTCTGTGCCACCTTCAGCTGAGACAAGTACCTGAAGGCTTTGATGGCATCAAAACGGTAGACCATCTGGAATTTCTCTGTCTCCACGCCTGGTGGTTTCTCCTTCGAGATGGGCAACCTGCTCCCCACCCACCTCCTGGGATCCTGCCTATTGCAGCACCGCAGCCCGTAGAGAGGCCTCGCCCACACAGCTGGCCTCGGCAACTGTGGCACGGCTCGGAGGAGAGCAGCCTGGAAGGAAGATGGGAGACCATTTCTCTCAAGGAAATTAATCATGCTCATCACACAACCAACAACTGCAAAGCATCTTACACGGAGGCTCCCACCAATCCTGCAAGGTCACTGCTACTGCCAAAGACAGAAAGAAAGGTAAACCCAGATGCTTTACCTCCTGTGATCGTCACAAAAGCTGTAGGAGACAGGAACCACTACTTCCACTTTACCACTAGGAAAGTAAGCCCAGAAAAAGTAAGAAGTTCACCCAAAGACACACAGCCAGTGAGTGGGGCAGAATCTGACTCTCACACTGGTCCTCTTTCTTCCAGGCAGTTCAAGTAGGTACATAGGAAAAGAGGTGCAGCATTCATTCATTCAGTAAACGCCTAGGGAGCGCCAACTCCGGGCTGGGCACTGGATCCATTAAGTCTATGTGAACTTCCCCCAAGCAGGAAACTGAACAACGTCTCTAGTGGACAACAGGTCCGTGAAATATTTAGCACAATAACTTTGCGAATCTCTTGTCAGGTTATAGTGCCATCCGAGTGTTGTAGGGAACTGGTGTTTTTTTTGCCTAGTTTGGGGGACAAGGAAGAATGAAGGAGGGAGGGATGGAGGCGCCAAACGGAAGCACAAGGGTTTTGTTAGGTGCATAGTTCTACACTGTGAGCAGTACAGTGAAAGATGCTTTGGGCTTTGAAACCAGACCTGGGTTCCAATAATCCTGGCTCCTAAAGTCACTGACTGTGTGTGCATCCTTGGGCAAGTTACTCTACCTCTCTGGGCCTCAGTTTCTTCAACTATCAGATAGGGATTCAGAATATCCTGAACGAGATAATGGTTTTAAAGCCCTCACATGCACTGGATGGACTTGATGCACCTGACGCACGGTGAGCGCTCAGTGGATTTTTAGTTATCGCTGTGGTTGGCCCACGTGACCTGAGCAGAGGAAGCCCGGGAATAACAAACCGTAACCCACGCCAGAGGTGTCTCCTGCGCATTTTCCATATCACAACCCCAGGCGTCTGCCTGCCTACGCCAGGTCTGACTCCGACCCCCAAAAGCGCGTCACCTCGCTCAGTGTCCACCACCCGCCTTCTTACCATGGCCCGGCTGCCTGCTGCCGGAAGCGAATCCCACCTGCCCCCGGGATCTCTAAGGGCGCATGCTCGGCCGCACCAAGCCTGCGTATGGCGCATTGCAACCTGGGATCTGAAGTCCGGAGAGACCAGCTAAAGCTGGTCTCAAGCATTGTGGGAGTGGATTCTTCTCCTCCCGGCGTGCTCTGCGGCACAGGGGTCGAACCCGGAAGTTCCGTGACGAGTTCCAGGTGCCAACGAGTCCCGTTAGGTGCGGCGTGGAATCTCAGGTCATGGCTGCGCGCGGCCCGGCGCTCTGCCTGTTCGACGTGGACGGGACCCTGACGGCCCCGCGGCAGGTAGGCGGCGCCCGGTGGGCTGGAGGCAGCGCGTGCGGAGACCCCTGCTGCTTCCAGACCGGACCAACGACCGCCCAGGGTGGGCATCGAGGGGCGGCTGGGGACCGCCTACTTCCTCTGGCAGGGCTGAACTCTATTCTAAGTGCCCTGAAAGAGTGAGACGGAGGACCTCAGGGTGCTTGGAGATGGGACGGGACCTAAAAACTCTTGAGAGCAAGAAACTTGTATTGGGTTGGAAAACGCAGTTCTGGACTCTGACCACAAGCCCTGGGTTCGAACACCAGTTTAGCCTCCTTACCAGCTGTGTGCCCTCCTCAGCTCTGTCACCTATGGGCTGTGCCTTGCAGCCTGATATGAAAAACATAGGATTCCAGCTTGAACAGACCTCGTAGAATCTCAGCTTTACCTCGTGACAGCTGTGTGACCTTGAGCAAGTCACTTACCTGGGAGCCTCAGCATCTACGACTTCAAATGGGGACATGACCTGTTCCATATGCTGTTTGCGAGGGTCGAATGAAATCAAACAAGTTCATGAAAGTATCTTGGTTTACAGTAGCCTGTGTTCAGTAATATTCAACAAATATTAGCAGGTCTTCAGTGGGCTGGGGTGATTGAGGAAACCTAAATTGTCACAGGCTGCCTGATGAGAGCTTCCTTGGACTCCTGGAAACTTGCTTCCCACTTCCAGATTCTGCTGCTACAGGCACATCTAGGTTTCAGTTAAGATCAAGGTTTGTGATGTAGCTCGCTCTGACTTCGCCTGTGCACAAACTGGTCCCCGAACACCAGCCATTTAAACTTGAGACTAGGCCCAAATGGCCTCACTGTCTTCAAGTTCTGTGCCCCTTAGTTTTGGCTGAATGGTAGCATCAAATGTGTGTGACCTTAGACATGTCATTTTACCTCTCTGAGCCACGTGTTTTGATGTAGCTAGTGAAGATGACTGCAAGTTCTCCAAAGGACCCTTTTGACCCTGAGATTCAGTGACCACTTGTGAGTTGTTAAAAATCCATAGTGGTCTAGACCAAGGTCAGCAATTTATTGTTTGTAAAGAGTCAGGTAGCAATTAATTTTGTCAGGTAGCAATTAATTTTGTCTTGGCTGACCATATGGTCTGTAGTAACTACTCAACTTTACTGCAAAAGCAGCCATAGACACAGGGTAGCTGTGTTCCAGTAAAACTGTTTATTACAGAAACATGCAGCTGCTCAATTTGGCCCATTGGCTGAAATGGTGTAGGGTTTCGATTCCTTTTTTTCATCCCATGTAGGACAGTTGTTATTACCGTTCTAAACATAAGGAAACTGAAAGTCTCCATCGTCTTGATTTCACACAGCAGATCTGGTACTAGTCTCTGGGCATTGGGGTGCTATTTGCTAAGTTTACCATTTTCTGCCATTGTTCTAAGGTGGAGGCTGTTCTGCCTGCTGGATATGCCATTCAGGGGAGTGCTTCTGATTCCTAGAAGGAATCAGGTTATATGAGGATAAAGTATGAAATAGCAATGAAACCAGGCAACCTGCAATGTATTCTCTTAAAACATTTGAAACATGACATTCTTAGTGGTGAAAATAAGTTTAGCACCCCCCAAAATCTGTAATTTAAAAGAGAATTGTTTCTATGTGCTTAGCGCTCTAGGTAAAAAATAAAAATATTTTAGCAATAGATCTATTCATTATCCGACTTTTCTCTTCCTAAATATATGCATTCTCAGACATCAGTAAGCACAATACTATCCGGTAGCAGAAGACTGCATTATATTTCTTGCAGCTGCTACAACAGGCTATGACTTAAACAGGCGAATTCTAATTAGGATAGAGTCCTGAGCTTTGCACATTTCACCGTTTTAGTAGAATTGTGTTGTACTGAATACTTTCCTAAGAGATACCTTCAAAAAGAAGGGCATCATAAACCTGCGTGAAGTGTTTTCCAACTTTCTATCATGAAAAATTTCAAACAAATTTGAAATGCAGAATCACTGAAAAATGTTTTCCAACTTTCTATCATGAAAAATTTCAAACATGCAGAATCACTGAAAAGCTAATACACAGAACAGCCATATTCCCACCACTTAAATTCAACAATGATTGACATTAACTTTATTTTCTTTTTTTAAAAAAGTTTTTGCCATACCACTTGCTAAGCCACAGTCATCCCAGTACTTTATCCCTAAATATTTGAGCCTGCAAGTTTTGAGAACAAGGACGTCTGTCGTAACCATAGTATCGTCATCACACCTGGAAAAACTATCATCTATTCCCTAGTTTCATTTAATACCCTAGTCCAAGGGTCAGCAAACTTTTTTTTTACGTAAAAGGCGAGGTAGTAAGTAGTTGAGGCTTCGCAGGCCCTCTGGTTTCTGTCACAATTACCCAACTCTGATGTTGTAACCATAGACACTACATGAGTGAGTGGACGTGACTGTGTTCCAGTCACACTTTACAGAAACAGGCAGTGGTTGATTTCTGGCCCACAGTTCCTATTCTGTTGACTTCCTCTACGCTAATCAGTGTTCCTTACTTGTCCCCCAAAAAAAAGTTTTTTAATTTTTTTTTTTCAGAAAGTGAATTTTAACATTTTTCCACCTTGATTTCAACCTTTTGGATCTTTCTGATCTATAAAGAATTTAGAGTTCCTTCTAATTATCAGCACAAGAGTTAGTTGGTAACATCACAGCAGTTTTGCTCTGATGATCTCTCTCCTGTGGTGGGATGTGGTTTAGAGGTCACAAGCAGCTAGGTCTTAAGTCCTGTTAGAAAATATTTGCTGCCACTTGGAAGTGAAAAGGCACCTTCCGTATCCCATTCACTCTGCAGAACGGGTCTCAGGGCTGACCACAGTACCCTCCAGCTCATCAGTGTGCACAAGGGTTAAAATAAAATTTGACCCTCACACTTCTGCTTGGAGATGGAGGCATTGCTGCTGCCAGTGTTAGTATTGCATTTTTAATATTTTGCAATAAAAAGAGTCTTCCCCACTTCCTCCCAGTCTGACTTCAGATCTGAGTAAGCCACTTGGGGGACTGAGGGACCCATTTTCACAGTCATTGACTCATCAAGGCTGTTAGTGCAGTTCTAGATTTTGTCTGCTAGGGGGAGATTCCACTGGAAGGTCACACTCTATTTAGGCCTTCTGTATGATTCTATTTTATTAATCATGTATGTATTACTCTTAAAAAATTCGTTTAAAAAAAGAGAAGACAACTATATACTGAAGTTGACTTAAGTGGCGTTTTTTGCTTTCATTTTTAATTTCTGGTAACTTTATTTGTGAAGATATTCTCTGTAAGTGTACAGAGAAGATTGCTAAAAGTAATGAAATAAAATATTTAAAAATTGTGATTTGTCTTAATACAGGGCTATCTTCTTAGTTTATCATTTCTTTTGAGTTAGCACAAAGTTCGGAATTTAACGAGCATCAAATTATACCATCGAAACCACTGTTTCTAGATAGGTGCATTTCTTTTAGGAGAGACTAAAGAATCTAGTGATCTTTTAGCCTTTGTTTTTGTATGATTATGTAAACCAATTATGAACTTCCTCTTCAATATGATGATTTTGTTTTAAAATCAACAACCTAAATCCACAAATGGTGTAGTATTTGAAAGGAATGTGCTCTGATCTGTGTGTATGTGGCATGGATCACCACAACTTAGTGCTGAAAAAGCAGGTCACTGCACAAGACATGAAATGAGTCTAATCGTGTTTCAAAAAATAAGACCCGTTTACTTATGTACATATAGCCAAGTATATAAATGCGTAGAAAAACAGCTGGAACAGTACACAGCAGCTGTTAATAATTGTGTATTTTAAATGAGGTAAAAATAAGTAAAGTTTAACAAGTTTTTTCTGTAAAAAGTTGTCCCAAAATCATAGCCAAAATATTTGGACTTACCTACAGACCTAGAAATGGAATTGGCATGAGTGGAAATTGTAAGGGTTGTATCATTCTTGCCATTTTAGTTTCCTCATTACTTTCTGGCTTGTAACTATTGTGTTTTCTTTTTTGAAATATAGAAAATTACCAAAGAAATGGATGACTTTCTACAAAAATTGAGGCAGAAGGTCAAAATCGGAGTAGTAGGCGGCTCGGACTTTGAGAAAGTACAGGAGCAGCTGGGAAGTGACGGTAACCTACACATTGCTAATTGCATTCTGGTAAAAGCTTAATTTCTTAAGAGGATATTGGGACCCGTAGCCATGAAGTGTAATAGGCAGCCCTGAGCCCTCATCCCCGTGTGGCAGGCTTCCTGCTGCCCTGTTTCAGGAAACATTTTCTCTGCCTTTATCTTTAACTCTTTTTAATTCTGTAAATAAATGTCTGGAATTGCCGATGGAGCCCTTGGTACTCAGATACATGGATAGATTCAGCTAGAAGGGTGAGTGTCTGTTTATTTGCCTGGAACACTCTTGTTCCCATCTACTGCCCTGCTAGCTTCAGCCCCATATCCTGATTGTCCTTGGCAATCAGGTGCCCTGAAGGTCCAGGGGCCGCCTCTCTGTCACCCAAACACAGTGTTTCCCAGAATTCCCTTAGTCCTGAGTCACCCAGGCTCGTCCCGCACCTGCTGAGCCAGACTCCCCAGCACAGGACCCCAGGAAGCTGGAGGTTCTTATGGGCCCTTCACCGAAGGGTCCAACTCGACAGGTCTGCGGGGCCTGGGAATCGCATTTTAGCATCTGCCCCCAGGAGATTATAACACACAGTCCTGTTGGTGGCGTGCTCTGGTTATTGGAAACTGTCTGGTTGTAAGTGTGTCTTGAGGACTAGGACTGTGGCTTATTCATCCCATAGCCCCAGGGCCTCCAGGGTGCCTGGCCTGTAAGAAAGAGTGGAAGGGAGATAAATAAATCGATCGTTCTTTTCTCCACTGTTGACATATTTGTAACTGAGCAGAGAGTTTGTCCACCAGCGCTGCAGACAGCCAATTATGCTGACACCAGGGGACAGTGAAAGAAATTGGCGTTTATTATATAGCACTACACAGTGGGGAACAGGCAGCTTGTGCTGGAAAAACCCAGACTCCCCGATGGTTTACAGACAAGGGGTTTTATGGAGCAAAAAGCATGAGTAATCATGAGTACAGGGTTCAGGGTCGTGGGCTGTGTTGATTGGCCAGTTCTTAAGCAGGCTTCAGCAGTCTGATGTATTCAGCTCTGGGCAGCATCCTGTCCGGGTCTGTGTGATGGTGGCCAGGTGGTCTTGAACATAAAGAGGAGTCTGTGAAGACATCTTGGGGTTGTGAGTCGGTGACTTTATCTTAAGAGCAGAAAGAAAAGAACAGAGCTATACATGCCATGCTTAACAGGCTGCATTCTTCTGTTATCTTAAGCAGAGTACACCTTGTGAAACTTGCCTTACTGGCAGGCCGGCAGGCCCCAGGAATTGACCGCATTCTGGTGCAGCTATGACTCTTAAGCAGGGCTCATTTAATAATTTTAACTAAAAGCTAAATTCTGATATATCAAGTCTGTTATGATTTGCTGTCGGCATCATTTTGGGCTGATTATTCTCTGTCGTCAGAGTCTGCGGGATGATGAGCAGCATCGCACCTGATGCCAGTAGCACCCTCGCCCCCAGTGAAACAATCAAAACATCTCCAGACATTCCCAAACGTCTTCTAGAGGCAAAATCTCCCTCCAGTCGAGAACCACTGTTCTAGACGTAGCATCTTACAGTCCAAATCTGTGTAGGCTTTGTTTATTGGACTCGTTATTGAAAGAGTAATCTGTATATTCCCTTTAAAACTCCTTGTTCCCCTTACACTTAATTTTCCTCCTAGATACTCTGGTTACAAATGCTATAAACCACATAATGAGGCACATAGAGCCCCAGAAAGCCTGTTACCTGTCCTGATTGCCTTTTTTGCCTGTGGTCACACATTTAACCACAGTGCCACGCAGTGCTTATACATTTCAGCGAGTGTGAGTCAAAACGAGAATGAGAACATTCATAAGCTAGAAGAAAGTTGAAGACTCACCTGTATCAGTAGCATCTGGGGAGCTTGTGAAAATACAGAAGTGGGGGCCCCACCCAACACACTGAGCCTAGGAATCTGCATTTTAAAGCACCTAAAGTTTGAGGATCTATTTAGATTTACGTGGATCGTCTCCAAATCTGACTGCATATAAGAGTCACCAACAGATCTTTTTTTTGAAAAAGCTGACTTTTAGCCCAGCCCCTGCAGATTCCGATTCAGAAAGCAGAGCCTAGAAATCTGCACATTTTCATCGCAGCCCTGGCGATGCTAATTTACAGGAGCGCTGGGAGCCATCACTGGCTCAGCAGAGACAGTTAATGACCTGTCACGGGTCTCCAGTCTCCAGCCTAGAAATCATCTTTTACATTTGTAATTAAGGGCCTTTAAAAAAAAAAAAAAACTTAAGGTGCTTTTTTCCCACTTTCTCCATCTGTGAAGACAAGGTGTTCTTTCACAGTCCTTGCTGGAGTTTAGCAGTTTTATTGGTGTTAAGTGTTAATCGAGAAATAGAAACCCAAGTTTCAGTTCATTGCATTTTAAGTTTTCTTTTGTTTTGGTTGCAGTGATTGAAAAATATGATTATGTGTTTCCAGAAAATGGTCTGGTAGCGTACAAAGGTGGGAGACTCTTGTGTAAACAGGTAGGTTCTTAAGTATCCAGACTACTGTATATTACTAGTAAAATGTTTTCTAAAAAGACGATTGATGCTGAATGCCTCTCGGAAGTGTATTTGGGAGCCGAGGAACAGGGCTGGGAATGAATCTTCACCCTGTGTTTTTTTACATCTTCAGTGTCGAACCACGGGACTTTCACATATTTCAAATTGTTAACGATATTTTTATAATTGTTTTTTAAGGACACTTTAATATTTCTATAATGATAGCAGAGACCAGGGCAGGCTGCCTCGCTACAAGCATATTAGGAGGTACTATGGAGCACTTATTAATATTAAGATCATTCTGTTCAGACATAAGAGAATGCCAAAGTGGAACAAATATAATTTCTGTCAGTATCTGTGGATATTTTAATTGAATAAAAGCAGCAACAATAAACTCTTTTGGCCTTCCATGAAGCATTTGAGAGATAATGAATATAAAAATCTTGACTAATGAAGCAGAAAATGCTTTTGACTGAGGCCTTTCCGGTTTGCTTAATGTTTTCAACCAGAGAACAAAGGGAAAGAAGGAAAAGGCAGTGAGGCGTGTCACCCTCACTGCTGCATCAGCCTGGTGACCCTCCACTGATAGTGGCTGGAAACCTGCGTTTGTTGTAAAGCCATTTTGAAAATGCCTGCCAGGGAATTGAGTAACTCCAGTATTTTCTTTATCTAGAATATTCAAGGTCACCTGGGTGAGGCCCTAATCCAAGACTTAATCAACTACTGCCTGAGCTACATTGCGAAAATTAAACTCCCGAGGAAGAGGTAGGTTTTGCTTTTAGCAAAGAGGCGCCACTGGAATTTGGAGTGATGTCATCCAGTGGATTGGTGCTCATTTGAGTCCAAAGCCCAGTGCTCAGTAAGGAATCACTGGAAACCTGTAAAGCCAGCAGTAGAAGAATGGTTATATAAATGGTGGCATGCCCGCATGATGGAAATTGAAAATATGTTTTCAAAGGCTGTCAGAGGAAATGCCTGTAAAAAGGCAATGTGAAAAAAGCAACATAAACCCCAGACCCGAAGTCTGAAACTGGAAGCCCCCAGGCCAAATCTCATACCAAGCCAGGTTTGATCAGCCCTGGTATTAAATCTGAAGTTTTCTGTAGTTACATAACGTTAAAAAAAGGAAAGGAGCAGGTGAAATCATTTTTAATATGTTTTATTTAACCTAATATATTAAGAATATAATCATTTTAACATGTAGGCAATATAAAACATTATTAATGATGATTACATTCCTTTTTCCTACTGAGTCTCTGAAATCTAATCTCCATTCAGATTAGCCACATCTCAAGATCAATAGCCACACGTGGCTGGTGGCTGTCATGTGGCCCAGCATAGCTCTGTGAAATGCGGATCACACCAGCCGCTGTCTATTGAAATTGCCAAACTTTATAGCCTGTTTATCCATCTATAATGTTGCCCAAATAAATAATGTTATTTCTTGGACCTCGGTCCCCTTTTCCTCTCCAGGGGGACTTTCATTGAATTCCGAAATGGGATGTTAAATGTGTCCCCTATTGGAAGAAGCTGCAGCCAAGAAGAACGCATTGAGTTCTATGAACTCGATAAAGTGAGTCTGAAATCTACCTAGGTTGGCGAAGATAAGACATGACACTTTGTGTACTTTCTTAATTACAACGCAGTAGATAATCAGCGTCTTTTTGTTTTTCTCAGAAAGAAAACATAAGACAAAAATTTGTTGCAGACCTGCAGAAGGAGTTTGCAGGAAAAGGCCTCACATTCTCCATAGGTATTGTATGCTCACGCAGGCTTCAAGCTTTGCCAGGAGTTTGTGCTGGGCCAGTGCACACTTGACATTAGATGGTGCCGTTTGAAGGTGGGCAGTCTGTCTTTAGGGGAAAACCACTGGTGTGTACTCAGCCGTGATGGAGACTTGCCAGCTAGGGAATGACTTCTAGGCTGCTGGGTTTGGTTCTAGATCCTTACCCAGCAGGATTCCCTCCCTGCACTTCTGGTCAAAAAGAGCATCTTGCTTAATGCAGATAAGAACTTATCCTCAGACGTTTAGATGGAAGACAGGCACGCTAATGAACTCCATAGCAGAGAGATGGCATGGGAGCCATCTCAGATAAATCAGACTCGGTGTTTTCTGGAATCACATACTGTTTAGACAGCAGGGAACCTTAGAAGTCAGTGGGTTGGTTTTACAAATCAAGAAACTAAGGACCAGAAGGGAACAAGGTCTTATCTGAGTTCACCAAGCTTTTACTAACAGTGGCCGGTGCGCAAACCCTTCTGGTGGCTGATATAGGCTTCTTCCCCCAGCCCTGGTAGCTCAGGCTTGTTTTCTGGTGGAATACGCCTGTCAGATGCTCTCAGCAAGCCGATTCCTCCTGTCAGTGCCCATGAGTCACTTCTTAAAGCCCTCTCATTTTACTAACACGAATTAATGCAGGTTGGAGGGAAACTGGAATTGCAAAGGGATTATGTGTAATAGATGAATGGGTGGATTTTTAAGTATTCTTGAACTGTGAGATGAACATCTTTCTGACAAAGCTCTGAAAGGGTTTTTGTTGCCTATGAAAGCTGCCTGTAAATCACCTCCCGTGTGATTTTCATTTCTCCTGCAAGACGAGCTGGGTGCAGCCTGCTTCCAGGCATTCTCCACTGAGAGTGCATTGAAGCTGGAGATGAGCACAACCGAATGAGGTTCTTATCAGATTTTCCCCAGCATGCTTCACGTGAACCCACTCACTTGACAGAGCACTTAGATGCAAATACATTTCTCATTGTGAGCTGACACACTCTAGGTCTCACTTTTCGATTTTAAGTGAAATGTTTGAAAAACACAATGTGGAATGAATTTCTAGAACCCATCCCCAAAGTCGTGTTAGCAACAAACTAGAGAGTATTAAAAATCAACCGTCGCAATCCAGTTGCTGACGAGAATAAGTTGCACATTTTTTTTCAGTGACATGTCATTAGCTTCCTTTTCACCTTTAGCTTTTGTTTTCCCCCTCCCCACTTGGCAGGAGGCCAGATCAGCTTTGATGTCTTTCCTGATGGATGGGACAAGAGGTATTGCCTGGGACATGTGGAAAATGACGGCTATAAGACCATTTATTTCTTTGGAGACAAAACCATGCCAGTGAGTACAAAAGTGATTTTGCAGTTTTATTGTTCAGTTTGGGCTTGAAGGGAGGAAATGGACAGATGGGCTTTTTTCCCCTTCACTCACACTTTACCTGCCAGCCCGGCTCCAACTGAATGATGCTCTGCCCTACAAGAGGGGTATGACAAAGGCCCCCTCCCCTCCCATGCTCAGATACCTGACACCTTGGCGGGGAATGGAGTCTTCCTGTGTGGCTTGTGAATTAAATATGACCCTCCTCAAGTGCCTTCCAGAACTCCTGCCCCGGCGCCGCTGTCAGATCCTCGCTGCGTTTCAGAGCCCCCGTTCTTTCTACTTTTTCCGCAGTATTTTGTTTCCAGGGGCATTCGTTTCAGTTGGGCAGTGGGAATCCTAAATGATAGGTGGACAGGGAGTCTCACGAGTCAGAAATTCAAGAGCAGGCGCCAGGGACCCTTCAGGGGTGAGGCGTCAGTCCTGAGCGTCACACAGGGTACAGGAGCTGTCCCAGGGGCTGTCAGAAATCCCTAGTCCGGGACCGAACCTAAACTGAGCAGAGCCCGGTGTTAAAGGCCAGCGCCAGAAGGAGGACTCAGGAGGCATGCCTCAGCCATCGTGGCAGCTGAGCCAGGCTCTTCTGGGGACAGGTGGATCCCCAAGGAGGTTGGAGAGACGTTGCCAGCGTGAGGCCCGAGAAGAGGCTTAGCATCCACTGTTCACTGCCCAGCCTCAGGCTCTCTGTGCCCTTCCGCAGTTCTCACAGGCCACCCAGCGGGGGTGCTCACCTTGCCATCAGGCATCCTGGGCCATGCTGCACCCAGCAGGTGCATCACACATGCTGCATATCCCTCCGCTCTCTGGTCCAGTCCAGAATACTTGCTTTTTTCTGCGGAGGTCTGCGACCTGCCTTTCAGTATGATCACCTCAGCTTCCAGCATGAGAGGGACTTCTGGATAGTAGAGCCACATGTCCTCTTTTCAGAATTATGAAACCGGGACTCAGGGTAAGTAACTTGCCCAAGGTCACACAGCTAATGACAGGGCTAGTGGCAGCAGAACAGACTACCTGCTCTTTAAATGAGTTCGCTTTCTAGTCAACACACCCTCTGTCCAGCTGGGTGGGAAAGATTCTTGTTCTAATTCCTAAATGAACGTGCGGTGCTTTTCAGGAGGTGCGTCGGTCAGCTTTTTTTCTTAATGACAGAATGGTTTTTAATCACGTCCTTTCATTGCGATGCTCTGGATGCAGAAGTGCTTTGAATGTAGGCTATGAAAAAAACCACTATCTGACTTGACGTCTTTAGAAAAAGTAAGCTAATGAAGTTACACCCAAGATCTAAAGAATGGCCGTAGAAGCTTTTTCAGTCCTTGCAAGTTGGTGCCGTTTCTTACGGGCTGAGACAAGAGCTGTCATACAGGCAAAAAGCGAGTTCTCCATAAGGGTGACGTTCTCGCTCTGTATAAATCGCTGTCGGAAGCCTCAGGTGGGCCTTGGCAGAATGGAATGCAGTTCTGAGCGAATTGGGAGATGGCTTCTTTGGGGAATTCTTTCTCTGAGAATCAGAATTTCCTGTTCTGTTTTACCACTGCATTACCACCCTTCAGTTCCATTTTTCTGAACCTTATCTACTTTTAAAAAATGGATACTATTCAGTGGAGGTTAACCGCCTCCGCCCCCATTCTTAAGTAATATGCATTCATTGTACAAAATTAGAAAAAGTTTGAAGAAGAAAGTGAAAGTCACTTGTGATCGCAGTCGATGTGCCTCCCAGCCTTTTCTCTGTGCACAGATATAATCCCAAATACGCGACCCCCGCATGCTCATCGTTTCATGTTTTGCTTTGTTCTCCCTGTATTTTTTTCCCCCACGTTAGTGAGTCTTCTTTGAAAATAAGGTTTCAACGGCTGCATGACACTGTCATCCAGGCGTCGCTTGCTCACCCGTTTCGCTGCCAGAGGCACCTGTGGGCTGTGGGTTTTTGTTGCGGTCACGAACACCGGTGAACATTCTCACGTATGTCCGTGCCCTCGTCTCTGATCCTTTTTTGGCCGCGGTGTCCTGGAAACGGGAGCGAACAGTCCAGCCATCGAAACCTTTTCACAACACAGCAGTTCCTGAAACTTCAGGCACAAAGCAATCCCAAGTCTTAGCTTGAAACCTCTGTTCGTATTCAGGGGTAGACGTTTTGAAAGCTGCTTTCTCTCTCAGTTTTGAGGCACACATTTTTGCTGGCTTCCAGGGGACCGGCACCTGAGCTAAGAGCTGTCAGTAAAATGCCATTTGCCTGCCAAGCAGTCCAGGCTTAGAAGCCTGCCGAAC